TTTTGAGTACTTAGGAAAAGACTCCTCTATTTAAAACAAACTTATTTATTTATTTTAAAGTTTTAGGTGGGCTAGATGGGGGTGGGGAGAGGGGTGTAAGCTTGAAGAAAATGAAGGCAAAAAATAAATTTCCATTTTGCCCAACGATTCGCTCCTATTTTTCTTCAATCACTCAGAAGTCTATTGGTAGAATCTGTGCCCATAAGTTGCTAGGCAAAATAAATAAAGTCAAATTCTCAATTTTTAATAAAACCTACTAATTTTAAAATATGACTAAAATAAATCAAGGCATTCTTCTTTGGAACTTTGAATTCGGGCTGTATAATACTTTGCTGCCTATTTACCAGTTGAATAACTGATCAGTTTCTTTTCCACAATGTCGTCTTCTTCTTCACCTATTGTTTCATTTGTTTGGTTTTCTTTGTGCTCCAATTAATAAATCTCATTTCAAAGTTCGTGAAGGCAGGGATCACTAGAGAATGCACGCTATTAGTAATTCTTCCCTATTTATGCGTTTATACTACTCAAATTCATCGTAACCTGAAAATATGACGCATTAGTGGACATGTACACGTTTAGAAAAATTTTTGTAAGCATGTCCTTATCACTCCACGCTTTTGACAAGCAATTAACCTCTCTTCTTCCTAGGTTAACGACAGCCTTTCCTGTTTCCTCTATCTTACTTCCTATTAAGAGGATTCACATAAGCCCTAGAATGGCCACACAAAAACGATATGCCTGGGAGATTTTAAAGAGCGTCCTTGTGGTCTTTTTTTTAATTGAGTTTAATACTCAGTAAATTTTTTGCACTTTTTTCAACCATTGCCAAAAGACAGGGGAGGGGGGAGACGAAAAAATCAATTATACTTTTATGTCTCTTGGGAACAGTTTATCCGAAAGTGGATATGTTATCAGGACTAGGTGAGTAATTTGTAGATTATACTGATTAAGTAAACGCTTCACACATCTCTGCGAGCGACTACTTCGATCATTTTAATCACTAAATAGTACTTTTATTCAAATCCATTTCGACTTAGGAATACTGCGACTTCTTTGAAGTAGAGCCTAAATTAATATAAATGACTGTTATAAACATTTGGAGATGCCAAAACTTTCTACAACTCAAGGCGATACGAACACTCTTGTCATTTTTAAGTGTTTAAGCATACGAAATATGAAAGTGAAACAGAAATTGAATGAATGAGGTATTCAAAAATCGCAAGTTGATCCGTTTATCAAAACATTGAGTTGCCCCTTTTTCCGAAAGCTACTCAACTCACTATCTGGTATTTAAATGTCCCAGGTCTTTATTTACATGATTTACGAATCTGATAATTTTTAAACCTCACACTTGCGTTATTTATCTGTAGCTTCTTTCTAAGGTGCAAAATATCATAAATGGTCATTTTGAATTCTCAACCATTGGAAGAAATAACGAAGCGACAAGACTGACCCTTTATGATTTTAAAATGGGTCATTGAAAACTCGATATCGCGGGCACTAATTTGCTTCAATCCATTGACGAACCACGAAACATAGGTTTCAGAATGGGGGCTTTTAATCTAATAAATATTGTGAAAATCGAATCTAAAATTAAAAAACCATGATAATTTGGTGTTTTAACATCTGACTTCCTTCCTTCCATGTATCAATTATTTGGTTCGTTTCTAGATGCTTCCTGCAATTAAAAATGGTACCTTTGTATCTCTCCGGGCGATTGAAAAATTACAATTGGACGAGTATTTGGAACATGATTAATTAAAGCTAATATGATAGCTGTTAGAAAATGCTTTCAAAATAAAAGCAGGTTTTTAAAATATCTGTTTAGATAGTAATTAGCACTCATAATCTGCATGATTTATGAAATTTTGCCTTTAGTGGGGGAGGAAGTTGAATTTCGCCCAAATTTATTCTTATATCCCTCTAAATTGAAAACGTTCAGAATTGTTTCACTAAATCAAAAATTTTGTCAATTGCGTCTAGGCGTAAAAGATTATTTCTGGTCCTATTTCATGTGAAATTAGGTGAAAGTTGATCCTCTTTTTCAGTGCTTTACCTTTACGGGTCATAATGATGAAAAGCTATTATGCACTACCTTTTTACTCATTTGTAATTTCGGCCGAAAAGTGGTCGAATGCAATAGGGAATAACTGAGTTACAATTTTCAACCCCTAAGACTCCTATGCGCAACTATAAGAAAATGGCAAAAAAACCTACCTGTCCAAAAATGATCTGCCATCGATATAATTTCTTTGTGTCTGAGATGTTCAGTACATAAAAAATTTAATTTTGTTTTTAATGTTTTTTCCTTCCAACGTATTCCATAGATAAGTCGAAATCCTCCCTTACTCACCAGGGTAAAATGTCAGCCAAATTTGATATGTGCAGCAGTTAGGCATGTCTTAGACATCATGAAGGAAAACTTGGACTCCGTTGCTTCTTTTCCTTATCATCACTAAATTCGACCTTTGAAGTGTCATTCCCATAACTGGCTACCTGACAAATATGAACCTTAATCGTTGAACTAAAAATTTATTGATCATATAGTTGATTTGATTACTGCGAGTTTCTATACGTGTCATAAAAATAGAGTTTGGGGAAGAAGGGTAATTTTTATTTCCTGGCAATCTTATTTTATCTAGTGCGTGCATGTGATGCCTACCATAAGCATTATAAATAAAAAGTAAAACCAAGATCGGTTGCCAAGGCAGGACTACATTTCTGCGTCTACTTTAGTGTAGAGACATTAATACTAATTGTAATATGATATTGTGCACAGAAAATGTGGCATCTAAATTTGCGAAAAATGGTTTCAATACCCTCCTGATTTGGTAGTTCATCTTAGTATAATGGAATATTTGCAGATGGGGAGGCACTAGTACATCGATCATCAATAACTCAAGGTTGATCCAGTAGGCTTTTTTTGCTCGAAAAGGGGTAAAGCAAAGTAAAACTGTCACTCAGTTTTTTTACTGCTCAAAGTAATACAATGCCATTAAAGGATAAGTCTAAAGGAGCTTGAAACTTAAACATTAGTCAATTTTTAATTTTTAAACTGAGATTTATGTGAATTCACCTAATTCCCCCCGTTTCTCATTTCTTCTACCTACTCTCCAACTCTTTCTCTCAAAATGTCGTTACAACACTTTCTAGGAAACTTTCACGAATTTTGTGTTTAAATGATTTCCCATGTGGAAATGTCGCAAAGTAAGTAATAAATAAATTATCATTAGTGTACTCTCTGGCGTAGCTGTCAATGAACACATCTGTTAAGGCAGAAGTGACGAGAATGTTATTACTCTGTGCATATCGTTTCATGTCGTTAATTAACCAGGCTCGTCGGTTTTGATTAATAGGATGGGGGTTGGAATAAAATCCAAAATGAGATCTGATCCAGATTTCGCTCTGTCCCATAAAGGGTACAAGAAAACCTTTATCTAATTCCTTAGTTAGAAAAAAATTACTGTTTTAGTTAATTTTTTATTAAGCCTGCTAGATGAGAAGATTAATCTCAAGTTTATTGCATTGAAAATGTGGAGAATTAGAAACTTCAGAATCTTTTAATTCCTATTGAACTATCAAAACTATGGAGGTTATCGTTGCTCCAGTTGGAAATGAAATTTCTCATATTTTCCAATTGTTATTATTTTCGACCCCTTAGTTTCCCTAATTATTTCTATAACTAAAATTACAGAAGAATTTTATGGAACATTTCCATTGTGTTTCTGGTCGATTGTGAATATAAATTTCGTTTGGTAAATGCAAAAGTTTGATTTATTTACACTGTCAATGGGGTCTTGATAAAATATGCGCTAAGTCAATGTTAGCAACTCTTCAATAGTAATTTGGGGGGGGGGGGGGGGGGGCGTGCTATAGACTTACCTCCGCGTGGTGCACCCTGGGCAACGTGTGCTCAGACGGCAAAAAAGTCTATTAACCGGCAGTTGACTTCAAAACACTATGACCCGACTATATGTCCTATTTGACCACTTTCACAGTACTCACCCTACCTTTCCTCCACCTTTATGACTGTCTAATTTACATCTGTTATTTACTCTTCTGTCTCCCCCTCTCTACTTTTGCGACTTTGATGTTCCAACCTTTTATAAAGTCCGAAGTCTGCTTAAGGGCTATCGATAACTGACAAAAAGCCTGGCATTTGATATAAATAAATAATTTTGTCACGTTCAAATCCAATTGAAAAGCTCTTCTCCAAAACATATGTTAGTTAAGGAGGCAATAAGATGGAACCTTTCTACATTCCGAAAGAATCATCAATGTGGTCGGCAACTGCCCTCATTGAAAGTACGCTAATGAGCATCAGCAATGCTATCTGCGAGGCTCTATCAACGCTAAAGATTTTGCTGGAGGATCAACCATTTAAGCCATTTTGGTTTTGCATTCAATTTCGCTTTCAATTAAATTTCATTAGAAGATGTCTCGTGAAATTGCAATAAGCTATTTTCGCGTTTACCCTCGCAGACATGGTTAGCACCTATTATGGTAGCAGACACTTGCCTTCTCTCAGTTAATTCCCGTTTCTATAGAAGTGCATTTGTGGGCGAATTAAGGACTGTGAGCTTTGGTGCAGGATATTTTAAATGTCGCACTTCTAACACTAGACAGTTGAAATTATTTTTATTGTACCAAATTTGATCGACTCATTTCGTCAAAAACAAAAGTCTGTGTGTAAGGGTATGAAAACTGACAATTACGCTTTGGATTATGAAATTTTATATTTGTTCTAGTTTTTCTTTCGCCTTATGCTGTTTAATAAACGTCGCTTATTCTTTCTGACGTTTTAAAAAAATGAAGTATTCAAGTTTCGTATGCCTACTTACACCTCCATTTCTAAAGCTCTGCAATGACTAAGCCCTGGTTTTAAGGCTTTATTTTTTAAATTATGAAGTTCAGACCCTTGATATTTGCTTAAAGGTCTTATTTAATTAAAATTTTCTGTTGCTACCGATAAAACCTCCTAATATTTCTATTGCTGCGGAATGCTGCAGGTTCTGCAATGTATGCTGCATTGCGCAGATCTGAACAGTCCCACCAAGCCCTTTGAAATCTACAAACAGTGGACATTCGGAGTGATGGAGGAGTTCTTTAAGCAAGGCGACAAGGAGAAGGAACTTGGGATCGAAATCAGCGCCATGTGTGATCGAGACTCTGTTGTGGTAGACAAAGCTCAAGTGAGTCTGTTTGAAGTCATATTGTTATATGCTCTATTTTCTTAATCGAAGACAGAAAACCCCAATCTGGCAATACCCATTTATATATATACAGTGAGTATTAGAACTTATATGATGATTAAATTACGTCTTTAAGGCGGTATTTATGTAAAATGCTGAGGTTGTTAACCGAAACTCTAACATATTTGAAACTTGTTGCGCATACAGCTCAACGGAAATTGTACAAAAATTATCACTTTACAATAATCCATTCTCAAGGAAATGATTTCACAATAGTCTTAAATGTATATCTCAGAGGCGACATCATGACAACTTCGAAAACTTTTGATTTCGTTAACATAAGATAGATTTCTGACAAGATAGTAAAAGTTGGGTCGTATATTTACTAGAATATTGTTGAATTAGCTGATGTCTATGGAATTAGAAACTCAAGTACTTAAACTTTTCGAAATCTGTCTGTAATTTAGTTAGTTCGGTAGTTCTCCAAGCAAATATTTCTCTACTTTTATTGATTATTAGTATAAATATTCGAGCTCAGCATATCCTCATTCTATCTAGATAGACGTTATGCATATCCAATCATAACTTCAGGAATCAGTTCACTAGGAATCAATCTTCATAGCTATGCCAACCAACTGTGCCTCTCAAATCCTAACCTTGAATATATTCCACCCAATAGACAAGCAATTTTGTTAAATTCTTGCCAGATCAGTAAATCGATTAGTTTACACCCTAGTTAGCAGTTTAGAGAAGTTGGAGAAAATTCGGTTATTTAAAAATCAGATATTTAAACTTTAAATAAATAGATATTCATTTTCAGTCGGCAATTCTTTTCTAACTAGGAGCGTAAATTGCATATTTTTATACGTGAATATACCATACATCATTTATTTCGAGCAAAACATCGCCCCTTATTCGAAGCTCTTGACAATTCTACACAAGATCACTTCCGGTTATTGTTAATAATTACAATTTCGTTATTTTGTTACAACTCCTCCAATAGGCATGAAAATTGCTGCGACTTTAATCAAGACTGTTTGAATTTTAGACCATTGTTAGAGTAAAGATTTTATTTGTAAAATATTCATTTCTGACCAATTTTCACTAGACAATTAACCATAATTAGGTTTATACTAAGACCGAAATATGCGCAGTTTATTATCGAAATTACCTTTGAATTGACATTTTGCAGACGTTGTTTATAAATCTACCTACAATAGCGTCATCTAACCGAGTTTTAATTACTTATTTTGATCGCTTTATTAAAATCATGATAATAAAATAACCATTCAAATGTAGTCATTGCCTAGGTTAATTTAATGGGCCTAGGTACTAATGAAATTTTCTTTGAATGTTTTAAATCCTTTTTAAGAATCTGAGTCTGTTTTCCTACTTTAGATTTAATTTTCATGAAAACACAGTTTTTCAGTGCACAAGAATTCCGAAAAATTTCTCCTTGTGTAAACAAATACATTGCCAATTGTAAATATTTGTCTTGTATAAAGAAAGCAGTATGCATAAAAATTATTTTTAGTCAGAAGAAATCCAAAAGTACTCTATCTTTAACCATGGAAATACAATGAGAAATGAAATAAACTTTTTAAGAGTAAGATATGGGAAGTTAGACATACGTAGAGATCAAGGCCAAGGTGCAAGTATAGTTTTATTTTATTTAAACTCAATTTTCATTACATGGATCTATCTTCCTAGTTTCCTATTGCTAATATTTCCCAATTTGGCTCATAGGTTTCTGGAGAGATTTATTGGCTAGTTTTGTTTTGATTATTTTGTCTCAAAATTTGTGTAATCAGTTAACTATCTCAATGCGAATTCGAATTGGACCTACAGATGGGTATCCTTGATTATTATTACAGTTCCTAGATTATGAGGAAAGCAAAATTAGATTTCTTTCTTGAAAGGAAAAGCCGTTCCTGAAGCTCGATTTGCCATCTATGCCAACTTGTTCCCAACACCTTCAGCGTAGTGGAGAAAAGTATTCAAAATTAATAGTAGAAACTTTCACCGATTCACATGCATGAGCACTTTCGTAGTTACATAATTCACAAAACAGTCCTTATTTCCTTAAACCAGAAAGATTAGAGAATGTGTGGTTGTGTCACACCCAACTCAATCTTTGCTTAAGATTGATTTCATTTACACTAGTTGGGAAATTTCAATTAATCAGCGGTCGGTATGCTTGGATTAACTTTTTCGATTATTTAATGCATACCAAGAGCATTTTTATTAAAAAGACCGTAATAAAACCACAGTAAATATCATGTTCTTTGGTCCTTTTTCTAGATTGGATTCATCGATTTTGTAATTCATCCCCTATGGGATACGTGGTGTGATTTGGTTCATCCCGCTGGTGAAAATATTCTGGAAACCCTCGACGCTAATCGTGATTTCATCCTCAACGAATCGCCCTTCAAAGAATTCGAAATGAAGGCTAAGGAAAAAGGAAGCGCCTTAACAGCAAACGCCCAAAAATGAATCTTTCTTCCAAATCCATCTAACCTTCCACCCCCTCCCCCTCCCGTTCCCACATCCCAACGCCCTGCCAAAGCAGAGGAGAAAGCATAAATCAGATCAGACCCCAGAACTCATTGTAGCTCAATAATATATATATATATATATATATATATATATATCTATTATTATCGTCATATGCTGAGAAGAAGTCACGGTGACCTAGACTAGACCCTTTTCCCCATTATGTCTACTAAGCCCCATTCTCGGTTAATTGCTCTTTTCCACTCGGATTTAATTTCCTTCCTCTCAATGCCAGCCAGTTCTCCTTTTCAGAATCGTCCTTTTTCCCTGAACTGGATTCAATTTTACTCCCCCCCAACCTCCCCTAATACAGATGTACACAGTTGTGAGATGACGATGGGTCTGTGCCTGCAACTGAGTTATTAGCATTGGCCTTAATCGATTCGTCCGCGTTTTCTATTTCAGTGATTTATGGCTTTTAAAGAGGAGGTTAAAATGTGCTGTATATTGCATGTAGAATTATGTAACCAAAGAAATCAAGGGTTATCAATTTTGACTAAACAGATGTTTTGGGTAAAGAGTAAGGACGTATATCGAAATAAAGCAATTTGTGAAAGGCCAAAGAGACTCATATCGGAATTCTAATTGCTTTATCTAAAATTAAAAAATAAGACTATCAGTTGTAGCTATTGTAAACAAATGAACATCTGTGAATCATGAAGGCTTCCATTTCTCAGACCACTGGAAGAAAGTTAACTGATTAGTTTGAGTACAAGTTGTGAATATGGTGAGTTTAGCTTTGAGCAAATAATTTACCGAATTTGAAACCTAGCCCATAAAAAGATACTCAAAAATACTTGAAACCGTATCCCATACTGGTTATTGCAGTATCCCTCAGTTTTAATACTAAATAGCCCTGTCAATTCAGTAGATAACTAACAATTTCCTCAACTGTTACAAATTTTTATAATTTGAATCATTTATCATGAAATTGATTTGAATACCCCATAGGATGGATATTTTCATGTTGTTCTTGATTCTAAAGAGCGTAGTGGCCTAAAATTTAGGCTTCAGAATTGAACTCAATTGTTATCTAAGTGATGATACACGTTCATTGAGTACTAGATGGTTTGGAAAATGGACGATGTAAATTGGACACATCTATAAACTTGATAGTCAATATCGGCTATTTAATAAGGTAATAATGGGGTGAGCAATAGATTTACCTCCACGTAGTGCACCCTGGACAATGTATACCCATTGAACAAATGAGTCTATAACTCGACAGTTGACTTCAATCTATTATTATCAGCCTGAAACAAAACTCCAATAAGAGAAATCGCCTTTGTCAGGGCGAATCACACTTTCTGCAGATTCTTCAGTGGAAGGCAGGATAGATGTCACAAGATATGAAGTTCCAAATCCAGAAAATCCTGCACATCTATGATATAGACATAATCATCATCATGAAAGTCAACCTTATGGATGAAAAACTCAATTTCTATCAATTCCTAGGTTACACCTTATGTCTCCTACCTAACGACCGGAAAGTAGCTAGTGAAATTTTGCCTGGAGTAAAAATAATGCCTCATCACCGAGAGTATGAGCTCAAAGCAAGATGTATGCAAAATAATTGGATTAAGTGTTTGGAAATGTCAAAATCACTTCAAGATATACGCGGTCTATAAACCGCCCCAGAACAGACCCAACTTCGATCTCCTGAATAGATCATACAAAACAATAATACTTGGAGACTTCAACGCCCATTCCACCAGATGGAACTATAAGGGCACAAACACAGCTGGAAAGGAAACCGAAGATATTCTTAATAGCAGCAGTCTGGAACTTATTTACAGCGATGAGGATCCTGCTACTTACCTTCACCGCTTGGAACCAGAACAACCCCTGACTTGCTCATGACTTCAACTAACAACAGTGAGCTCACACACCGCAAAATAATTAACGAATCTGGTTCTGGTCACAAACCAGCCATTGCTATTATTTCCATCGGCAACAAATGCAAGACACCACATATACCAACCAAGTTATCATGGAACTTTAAGAAGCCCGGCTGGCCTAGATTCACAAACCTTTTAAAAAACGAACTTCACGCAAGCCCCATCAACTGCAACCACCATTCTAACAAACCGAGCAACAATATCAGATGTGTAAAGTAAACAATACTCCGTGTCGAGGCTAAACACTATAGAGGGTTCTGCTCACAATCAGCAAGAAGTTCAATTTGAAACAGAGAACCACTCAAATCAGCCAGGTTATAGGAATGTAAAAAACTGTATCAGTTACTGAGAAAAAAAAACAAAACAGAAGTTCTTCAATGAGATACTGATAAGCCAGAATTCAACTAATGAAATAATGTTAACCATCCTAAAGCATATATACAGATATATGTTCCTCCCTCTCCCCTTGTGAAGGCCGAATTCAACTAAAAAGCTAGTGATAAATATCATATAGCTTGCTATTTTAAAAAAAATAATAACGTGATTATTTTATTTGATCAATTTAGGAATAACTGTAAGTTAACAGTAACACCAAATTAGTAAGATTGACTGAATATTTCTAATATTTACTTACTGTTTTAATTCTTTATATTTTTTACATTCCCATTGAAATATAATTAATTTTGCCAATGGAACCAAACAAATGAAACCGAATGGACAAATCATTCCTTATTCCCATTTCCATCTCTGTGCTCTTAACCCAAAATAATTAGACCCATTGGCATTGTTTAAAGTTAATTAAATTTTCCCAACTTGTTAGCGAATTGCTTATCGCCCTATTAATTAAATAATTGACATTAAAAGGGGCAAATAGTAAACATCAATTAATTCTCACCAACTTTATGGATTTGACAAAATATAGTGGCATTGCGAGTTTATCTAAATGTTGGTCAACAGTTCTGGTACGAGAAATATTATAATAAATTAAGATAATTGGACTCCCCTAAAATTTTGATTCTATTACTTAATCGCTCTTGCTAATACTAGATGAATGGGATATTTTATGGAGCCAAAGCGAATTCTTGTCTTTATCTACCAGTTAGACATATACACATTTGGCACTGACGAATATTCGGACAGATTTAATTGGGTTCAATTGCAATACTTTGGTGAGACTTTCATTAAAAAAACCACTGTCATATTTAAAAGGCTTTTGAAATGCTTCGCAATTTCTCCAACTGACTGGGCTTTAAAACAACAAAATGAGAAGAAGACGAATAATAAATCAGCCGATCAGTTAGTACTGGACGAATAAATTGACATTGGTTTTGAAACTGGCAGTTGGCTTCTGATTTCAAACTTTCCTAACCTCACTGTATGTCATGATCGACCCCTTTCACAGTACTCATCTTACCTTTTCTCCGCCTTTGTGTCTGTTTGTTACATCTGTGAATCGCTCTTCTTTCCCCCTGTCGAATTTTTCTCACTTTAATGTTCCTCCCTTCTGTGAAATCCGAAGTCAACTAAAGGACTAATGATAACTATCGAAATGCCTGCCATTTGAAATAAATCATTCAGTAAAAATTGAGCAACAAGATGCCAAGAATTCGAGTGAAGTAAGACTTTTGATACAGAGACTTTGTCTTCATCAACTTTGTGGTAAATCCAACTTTATTAATTGTTGAATGGTACTATTTTCATTGCAGTTTTCCATTTTATTTTATTAGAAAACGAAATACAACAAATAAAATAATAAAATTTAATTAGTGAGACTTATTTTCACTGCGACCTATCAGGTTGACGTCAATTTTAACATCTATCCTTTTTGTTCTTACATAGGATCATGACAGAAGACCCATAGCTTTCAGCATAAAATTTGAAAACAGAAATAATGAAAATTTCTAATTTGAAATTTTTTATAAAAGTTAGTTGAGAAATGTGATTAGGATCTCTATAGCTTAATGTCCCTCACGAGTCTCATTTCTCAAAAATTGGAGCTTGCTGACAACCGTTGCGATAGGTTTCAATTTAAGCTTCTGGATTCTTCAATTCTAACAGTTTTAGTTGAGACATAAAATGATTACAATTTTCTAAGCTGCATGTTGCATAATATAGAATTTGTGGCGCCATTGCCATTCGAAGAACTACACCGTTACTATGTTTACCTGGGTTAGCAAAGGTAATTAGCTTTCATTAAGCATTTGGTGTCCAATTAGGTGTTAGAAAGACGATTATTGTATACACGGAATTTACCGATACTTCTGAACTATAGTGTGATCCACGCCATTATTCTGTGACTTAATGTTCCTCGTAAATATTGGCTCAATGTACCTTCCTGTGGTTGACGCCATGCAACCAGGGTTTTATGTCTTACATAGTTGTAAACAATCGCATTCCTTCGTTTGGGATCTAAGCACTTAATAAATGAATTAAACTTGTTCACTATGAAGTCTTGTGTTTGGGTTTCCTGAAAGTGACCAGGAATGGACGATTATTAATCCGCTTTCTCCTCAAGTTGAGGACTTTTGAGTTAGACTGATAACAAATTGAGTTCTTTTGAGTGATTAAATTCAATCAATATGCTCCTTGGCACAAATATTAAATTGTTTTCATTGCCAGATTATCGGTCGAAGCAGGGCTTAAACGTGGATTTGTGTGTATGAACTAAAGTCCTACAATATTTAAATTACCATCATTATAATCATTTCTTTCTATCTTAATCAATCGGTGAAAATATTTTTTAACTTTGCAGACAACCTGAGGACAAGAAAGAAACTGCAAAATAGATGACAGTTTTTGTGATTTGGGATTTTTTGCATGAAATAGGAAAGCAGTATTTTGACCAGAAGATGAATCAATGATGGAGATATCAATTCAAACTGAAGGAAGAAATTCAGTGATCGACAATCTAGTGGAGGTGGTATGAGGAATGAGGGATTTGCTAAGGTGAGCAGATAATGTTCTCTATGCTTTCATAATATGCATAAAAATAGTATTGAGTACAGTAATTCCAACCCTCCAAACATTAACGATTTTAGCGTG